AGAGGAAGAGTTTCCTGCAGCAGACAGTCAGTGACACACGGATGACATCATAGCGCTCTGTCCGCCTGGTGTGTGTCGGACCTGCCTTGTGTCCTCAGGGGACCCGTGATGACATTTTCACAAAAGGCACTGTGTGAAGCGCGGAAGGGCCACCAGGACGAGCCCAGGTGGACCAAGGGCCCAGGAAGGAGCTGGCAGGAGCTGTGTGTCCCACTGTCTCGGTGGCCTGTGGGGTGGGCAGGGAGAGCAATGAGGACTGACCAGAGCCGTGGGGGGGGGGGGGTGGCGCTGGCGAGACTTGTCCCCTCAAGAGGTGGCTTGGGCTGGGCAGGAGGGCAGGGAGCATGCCGTAGAGAGGGGCTGCCCCTCAGGGATGGGGCTGCGGAGGGGTGGGCCATCCACAGGGCAGGGCGCTGGAGGCCTGTGGGGACAAGCAGGCGGAGGCTCCTCCAGGAAGGCTCACCCAAGGCTCGAGGCTTGCTGGCACTCCCCTCTAGGAATCTACAACACAAAGAGAAACAGAGAAACTCTCTGTTAGACAGGAAGGCGCAGGTTCTAGGCGGGCATTTTGCTCTTGGCGACAAACTGCACCGCCTTGTGGGGGAAGGTAGTGGGAGGGGAGGGAAGGGGTGGGAGGCGGCATCTTAGAGCAGGTGGTTACCACAGGGCAAGTCTGAGATGAGGAACTTTCACGGTTTTCTCTCTGGCCTTCAGCGGGTCTTTCCTTCAGGGAAGGAGAAGCCCAAATAGGACACTGATGAGGCCATCTGCCCCAGCTCATCTTTCTCGTAAGTTTAGTTTTGAGAGAAAGTAAGAAACGGAGGCTGGGGACCAGGCGCGGTGGCTCACACCTGTAATCCCACCACTTTGGGAGGCCAAGGCGGGTGGATCACGAGATCAAGAGATGGAGACCATTCTGGCCAACATGGTGAAAACATGTCTCTACTAAAAATACAAAAATTAGCTGGGCGTGGTGGCATGCGCCTGTAGTCCCAGCTACTCGGGAGACTTGAGTCAGGAGAATCACCTGAACCCAGGAGACGGAGGATGCAGTCAGCCAAGATCACGCCACTGCACTCCAGCCTGGCAACAGAGCGAGATTCCATCTCAAAACAAACAAACAACAACCAAAAAAACGAAACAGAGGTTGGGGCCAGACTCATGGCTCACACCTGCAATCCCAGCACTTTGAAAGGCTGAAGAGGGAGGCTCTCATGAGCTCAGGAGTTCAAGACCAGCCTGGGCAACATAGCCAGACTTCATCTCTACGAAAAATTTTAAAAAATTAACCAGCATGTTGGCATGTGCCTGCAGTCCTGGCTATTCAGGAGGGTGAGGTGGGAGGATTGCTTGAGCCCAGGGAGGTCGAGGCTGCTGTGAGCCAAGATTGCGCCACTGCACTTCAGCTTGGGTGACCTTAACTTTGCAGTGAGACCGCAACTCCAAAAACAAAAAGAGAAAAAAAATGCATCGGTTTCCTAGAATGGTGCAAGGGACATGAAGGCCTGATTCTCAGAAGGAAACTCTCGGCTCTTCAGCAGTACAATGTAAAATCTTTGGTGAAAGGAAAACGTGTCATTCTGTGTTCATTCAGTGATAAACAGTGAAAAGTTCTTCATCTCACAGAGAGAGAAAAGAAACAAAAGAAACAGACTTCCCAGGCCCTGAGTGCACGCAGGATCAGAAACAGGGGAGGTGCCATCATTTAAAGGAAGAGGCAGGGGTAGGAGGCAGAATTTTTAAAAAAGCATTTGGCTAGACAATCCCCTATTACTGGAGATGAAAGAGTTAAATATTCACATTACACAGAATAATTTTCTCGGAAAGATGAAAAATCACTTAAAATACACAATACTGAGAAAAAATATAACATTTATTAGAGAGGCAGATATGAGGGTACAACTAAAAGATGCCAGACAGAGTCTTTTCTTTTAGGATAAGAATAGAAAGAGACAATCATGTTGCTGTATTCAAACGAAACTTACTCAGAACCCCAGAGTTTATAATAAACTCAAGTGCGGAGCCGCAGCGGGGGCCTAGCTCCCCATGCGAGAGGCTTCGCGGCTTTCCGGCAATTATAAAAACAGAAAGGTCATTAGGCAGCAGGACACCCATAAAACAAACAGATAAAAGTACAACATTAAAACAACTCATTCAAGTACTCCGTTTAGTTTTTAAGTTGCAGTATATACACATGTCTTCTGTGGGGGAATTATGGAAATATTTAACAGCAATTAAAAAAAAAAAACCACAAAAGAAAGTCACAATCCAGTTGACCCATCAAAAGTCACTCTAGTCTAAGTATTTTGGCAGTTATTAAATAAGCACATTGTAGACACACACACACACACACACACACACACACACACGACCACAAAAGGTGCACCGGCATTATTAAAACAGCTGTACTGAGTTATGGGCCTCAGAACACGTGGCTTTGCCCACATCAGATGGGTTTAAGGAGGGCGGTGTTTGTGGGAGGTTGGACAAACTTATAAACAGAGTAGGGAGAAAAGGCTTCTCTGTACATATAAATCTCTAAGTGTAACTTTCAAATAAAAGGAGAAAATTGTATAAGTAGCTGAGATTTTGCTTCTTTTAACAGTCTTTTATTTAACTGCTAGAAAAAGAGAAAGTATACTTTGGGTGGAAATGGAGATTCCCAATTCTATGGGTATTGTTTTCTACTCTTTCACGCATTGATGAGATGGACCTGAAATTTACAAAATAACTTCAACTGTTTAGTCAATATTACAGAGATTCACCTGTGAGAGTACTGAGGCATACAACGTAATGATCAAAAATTTAAAATTATCATCATAAATTTATGTGCCCAAACCCCTCCCACCCCATTTCCCCTGAAACCAACTGAGCTAGTTTCTGAATTAAATTTGAATAACTAAATTTGAATAATTAAGAAAATACACAGCTAGACAGAATGCCTTTTTGCAAAGCAGGCTTTTACAGAGTTAATGTTGTCTTGCCCTATTTTTGTTTTCGCAGCGTTTTAGTTTGCTTTGTCCAGGAGTTAACAGATTGGAAATGAGTTTGTCATTGGATAGAAAGGTCAGATTTTAGTAACTTAGAAGTTTCCCATTTACTTGATTACTCGGGTGAAGCTGGAAACTTCCTACTGCTCATTTAAACAGATCCCTGTGGTCGAAGGGTCAGCTTATTTTCTTGCTGCAATCCTTACAAAGGAGAACTGAAACAGTTTTCCTAATGAGGCCTGGCGCCAGGATGGGTGGCTTTATTGATACTATGTCAGCAAAAATATCCAAAAGAAATGTGGGCCCGGCAAGGTGGCTCCGCCTGTAGTACCAGCACTTTGGGAGGCTGAGGCAGGAGGATCACTTGAGCCCAGGAGTTTGAGACCAGCCTGGCCAGCATGGTGAAAACCTGTCTCTACCGAAAAAA